CCTAGTTTTTTCTACGACGAAGTATGGCTGGCCCTATGCCGGCTTCGCAGAAGGTCCCCACCGTCCCCCGACGTAGTCGGGGGAAAGGGAATGGGGGGGGGGTATCCTTCTTTCATTACGAAGTATGACTACTGCTGGCTTTACACCTGAGGTTGGTAAGAATCTCCTATGGATTTTCATAAGGCTCTGCCTGAACTTTTTGATTTTTTTTGATCAATGTTTTTGTTTTGCGATTTTGGGCTTGGGCGTGACGGGCAGGTGTTCTGGAAGAAAACATCTCGAAGCCAGGCCATGCTCAGTCTCGATCTACACGTGCGCGTTGACGACTTCTGAAGTTACTCAGCTAGACCAACTTCTTCGCTCTCCCCATTATGGTTCTTGACTGATATCGTCCTTGTTCATAGTGTCGCCACCCCTCCCGGTACGAGACTTTCTCACATCTGGTCCGCTACTGACGACCCTCCTCCGTTGCCATTTCCTTTTCCTGCAGCCTCCTTACGTCTTGTTAACTTTGAGAGGAACATACCATCTCCCCCTTCCTCCAAGGGGGGGAAAAAAATGGGTGTTGTTCTGAGCCACTACTTCCTCACTCCCCTCCCGATTTCCTTGCCCACCTACAATATCCACCACCACCTTCACTACACCACCATTGTGGGTGCCACTCACACCCGTAGCCATGGAGATCACCATGGAAAACTTTTGGCGGCAGCTGCCAAGAATATTGATTTCCATCGCAGAGTCGAATTTCGTCGCTATCGACGTCGAGATGACCGGCATTGCAGACAAGATGTCGGAGAATTTCTGGAAAAAGACCAACCAAACCCGACAGGGGATTTACGAGACAGGCAAGCGGATCGCGTCAACGTACAACGTCTTTGAGCTGGGTCTCACCTGTGTCAAGCCTGACGGAGGCGAGTACTTTCCTCCGCCTCTCGCGACTTCTTGCTGACAAGCCACAGACGATTCGTACAAGACGGAATCTTACAGTTTTTATGTCAGCCCTTTACTCCTCGAGGATACTCGCGAAGACAGCTTTTTCGCCAAAGACTTGGGCAGGAACTTGACGGCATCACTCAGCACCCTGAAGTTTATGAGAAAGGAAGGCCTCCAATTGGAGAAGATTTTCGACAACCCTGTCCCGTACTTGAGCCGTAAGGAATCGCGCGACGCAATTGAACGCCTGGAGTCCCGAGCGCAGACACAGCCGATCAAGGACCATCCGTACGACGAGGACGAGGAAGGCCTTAATTTCTTCAGCACGTACGTTTTTGACGAGATCACTTCATGGCTCGGCGACCGCAACGACGATGTAAGACCCACGGTTGAGTTCATGGGGATTATGGCTAATGCTTGTGGTCGTGCAGCGAAAGTCAGAGATCGAGATCCGGATCCCCTATTCGGGTAGCAAGAAGAGAAGCAGTGTGTACCACAAGATCGTCCGAGTAACAGCTCAGAATCTGGTTCCGCACATGAAGTGCCGCACCTGGAACCATGGTCTTTCTGTGATTATTTCACCAGAAGATTCCGACGAGAATCAAGAGGTACGACCCCCCAGAAACGTTGCGATTGTTGGTTGGCCCTGTTTTGCGCCCCCTACTGACAATGTCCAGAGGCAGCAAACGTTTCGAGATAACCTTTCCGCCTCAATCAGAAAGCAAACAGGTAGGTCTCATTGACAAGACAGCCGGCAGATGCTGACCATCCCAAGGTCTTCGCCTGATTATGGAGGCCCTTTCCGGAGGGCATTTTGCGGATATCATTGACCCGAGCTACATTATTGAGGCTTTATCATCCTGGCCTGGCGGCATGACGGTACAGAGCTTTTGTCAAGAGGTTCAGCAGAAATTTGGAAACGCGCCGCTTTTGAGTCCGGAGCGAGAGTCCGGTGAGGACAGCGAGGGAGTGGTGTCGACGACACCAGAGCAGGAATCCAGCTACTTCAGCGAAGAATCACCCAATAACATCGGGAACTCCCTGGAAGAAGCAAAAGGCGAACAATCCTGGCGATTGCCGGAATCATCGTCGGAGTGGATTACAAGTTTCCCGCACACGCCTGTGAGTCCCAGCGGGTCTTGGGGAAATCCTGCCGGCTACTCTGGAGAGCGTCACAGCGAGGATGATATCTCGGAAGCAACGCTTTCCGATCAGATCCGGGCCGCCCTCTGGACACTCGAATCCAAGCTCCAGCTCCAGCGCCCACCAATTGTTGGTCACAACCAGTTCTTTGACTTGTTGTTCATTTACCAAACCTTCTTTGACGATCTCCCTGCTTCCTGCGGGGAATTCTTTGCCAACATCTACGAGTTGTTTCCCCACATAATCGATACCAAACTCATGGCAATCGCCGATCAGGCGATCGAAGGGGAAGATCCGCTGGCGGATATATTCGACAGATTCATTGGCGATGTTTGCAGGCCGTCTATTGGCTGGGATCCGGCCCATGGGTACAGTCGAAGGGCGAACGCCCATGAAGCAGGCTACGACAGTGCGTCGATATATTCCCACCTTTTACTTTGTAACTGACCTGGCGATAGGCTTCATGACTGCTGTTATCCTTCTGCGACTCGCACATAAACTTGCTCGAAGGACACTCGACAACGTCGACGAGGGTGAGAGCTGGGACAAGAAGATGCGTCGATTGTACGACAAGGGCTGGCTACTAGAGATTGGACGTGACCCCGAATGCTTTGGATCGGACTCAGGATCGGACTTTGAGAAATCGACGGCATCCTCAGACGGCGATGACGAAGAAGTCGGAGAGCTCTACTGGGGTCATTCTGTGTTCGACATGTTCCGCAACACTCTGCGAATCGGCCCCTCCACCAATGTTTTTCTGGAGAGACAGTGGGCAGCCGATCGAGCCTTTCGCCAGGTTCCGCGTCCGACGTCAGACACGGAAGGATGCAGTATTCGTTCTTGAGACGCGTTAAGTGGAGGAGACGCGTTGTGAGTCGATATATAGCGATGGGCTGTGTAATAGACTGAATTGGTGATGGATGATCCTTGGCTTTCGAGTGACCCCGCCAGGCTGTCGTATCTTACATTTGGCCAATTTGTTTCCTAGAAATGGCTTTCACAAGAATGATCCTTTCTCACCGGCCATTGACCTTCTTCCACGTTTCTGACTTTTTTTGATCGCTTTTGCTCAGCTCAGGGGCGGCAGAGGGGTAGAGGACGATTCGGCTGTTCGAACCCGCGGGCCTCGGGATAATCTGGGGAAACAGGGGCACGCGAACTCTAAGTTTGCACGCGTTTGAATGGCATCTGATGGGTCAATTAAAACACAGAGTAATAATAGTTCACTTAAGAAGGCGATGCCGTGGAGGGGGAATCCCAAGTTGGAGGGCAAGATCACGAAGATTTGAAATGACAGGCGGCGGCAGCATGAGACGATCGCTGGAAACGGCTGTTGATCTCCGCGAGTTGAGATGAAGCTCGGCCGGTCGTCGAGGGCAACCCCTGTTTCCTCCGTCTGGGCCTGCGCTCTTCCCCGATCAGGAAGCTACGCCCAATGAGAAGAACGGACGCCGAAGGAAGCCCGCTTGGTCGTGGAGGCTAGAGGGGTACTTCACATGCGAGGCATCCGGTGCGACGTCACTGGGGCGTGCTGCACCAAGACCATGTATTCGCTTATCTCTTTGTTTTTCTGGCTACAGCGAACGACTCAATGTTTCTGGCGGTCAGCTGGCCAGGAACGCCAGGCCGGCGGGCACACACTCAGGCACTTTGCATGCACTCTGCAGGAGAGCCGGGATGAGCCCACCACACTCGCAGCGAGACACCGCCGCAGAACAAACCGAGGCTAAACTTTGGCCACGGCCGAAAAGTGTAACCGTGCCTGCGCAGCTGCGGCCGGTGATTGGCCCAGTGCACTCCATTCCTCCTCAGTCAGCAGACTGCCCCAGCTCCATTCTCCATTCTCCAGCAGAGCAGCAACCAGCAACCCAGCACCACCACCGAGCACCGGCAATCCGAATCTAACCACGACCACATGTCGCGGCTCTCATCACTACCCGCTGGTGGCATTTGAGCAGTAACGCGTATGATGGCCGCCGCTCTCCGCACGCCGGATACATAACAAACCCCGTTCTTTTTCTTGGTCTTCCCCTCGTCAATTTCCCTCCCGTCTGGGGCACGTCAATGCCGACAGATTGAATCCGACGCCGCCCTGCCTGTTGCTGCTGTCCATCCTCTAAATGCCATTGCCCGCCACTATGTCGTCCCTCAACGGCTCCTACACGGCGACTCTGAGTCCCACGCTCGCCTCGTCCGAAACCGCATCCGCATTCCCTCCGCACATGCTCTCGAGCTCCATCTCCTCGCTATCCTCATCAACGTCTTCGCGCCACACCTCGCAGATCTCAAAGACTTACCGCCAGGCCTCGACCCTGTTCCTCACGCGTCGCCTGCCCGAGGCCCTATCCACCATCTTGCCATTGATCACACCAACACCGGGACAGTCGGACGGCGCCCCAACAGAGCCCGCGCCCGTCGCGAGGGCGTCTCGATCCACGAGAATCAAGGTCTGGAGCTTGTACCTGACGACGCTCAACGCCATCGTCGAGCTGGAGCCGGACGAGGGAAAGGATGCGTTTGGAAGCCAAGAGTGGCGCTCGCTGTGCACCAAGGTCAGGGACGGAGAAGTGTGGGAGGAGGTCGTCCGCAACGGATACCACGGCGTCGAGAGCGACGTCGATTCCGACGTCGTCATTAACCTGTAAGCAAAATTGTTTATTTGGGTGTCGCCTGATGCTGGATATCATGTGCTAACCGGGACCCTAGCGCCACGCTGCTCTTAGCTCACGCCCGGACGCAGGAATTGAACCAAAAGAGGCTGGAGAGCTATCTCGCTGCCTCAACCTCACCAAATCTGGATCTCTCGCAGAGATTTTCCGACACGCCGTCGCCGTCCCCGCGGCTGAATCACCGGCACAGGTCGCCGGCGAAGGGGACGAGCGGCGCTGACACGCCAAGAGACCTTAATGCGAGGGTGAAGATCCTCGAGCTGTACACGCTGCATGTTTTGTTGCGTAATAATGAGTGGGATTATGCCCGAGAATTCATTAGCGTCAGCTCCGTATTAGACGACGAACGCCGCGAGGCGTTCCTGCAAGCACTGCAAAGCTTGCAGGAAGAACAGCAAGAAGCAGAAAGGCGCGAAGCCGAAGACAGACGCCAACAGGAAGAGCAAATAAGGCGCGATATTGAGGAGGCCAAGAAACTGAGAGCTGAAAATGAAGAGAGGGAACGCAGGCGATTAGAAGAGGAACGAGCCAGGCGAGAGGGCACCGAGGTGGACTATGGCATCGAAAGGACACCGAGCAGGGCGGGCTCTAGCAAAGCAGGGTCGAGCAAGGGGCGACATGCCAGAGTCGTCTCAAACGCTTCAGGGTCAAATTCAAACCCAAAGATGCCTGTATCACGGGCAAAGGGCAAGTCACCAGCCAACCCTACGTTCGGAAGCAGGGCATCTATGGTCGTGTCTCGGCTGAAAGAGCTCATCGACCAGCTGGGGGCGTCGTTCAAGACGAACCCGATGCTGCTGATGCGGCTTGTGGCTTTTATTTTGGGTTTGGTCGTCATGTTTGGACAGAAGAATGTCCGAGAGCGGATACAGCGCGTGCTTGGTAATGGTTGGAACAAGGTAAAGGCGACAGCGGGAATGGGAGTCAAGGTTAGCTACATATGATTACGACGGACACCGGCTAGCTTTGACTTTCACTGTACTATAAGTATGAATCTGGATGAACGGCCGTAATTGTTGTGGCCTTGGATGTTTTTTTGGTTCAAAAATGGGAGCATTTCAACAAGTTGGCAACTGGCTGTTCCGTCATGCAAAGTGGGATATCGTTCTTTTCGATCTAAATGGTGAAACCCTCGTGCGTTGTCTCTGATAATCGACGCCCAAACGCCATGTACACAATGCCATACCCATGTGTCGCAAAATTTTCTCGTTCGTATCCATGCTGCCTCAAGCCGAAAACATAACCGGTGCCCAGACCCGGGCGACGTAGGGACTAGTACGTCGCCGTGCGATTCGTTTTCTTCTGGTAGAACAGGTCGGTTCGCGAGCTTCCGAGGTTGATGATCTTGGGGCAGCCGTCGCGGTCCTTCTCGAGCCGCGTGCACTCGAAGCAGTAGAAGGCGTCCGAGATGCCCTCACCGCCGCAGACGACGCACTTGTTTTGGTAGTTGCCGAAGGAGCACTCGTCGCAGATACGGACGAGAGTCGTGGGGCGGACGTAGGAATCGCAGACGGGACACTTGCCGTCGCACTTGTCGCAGAGGCGGCCGATGGCGATGCCGGCCTGCTTGCGGCACATGACGAGATCGCTGGAAAACGGTCAGTACGCGGTTTTGTTTAGGTTGGGGCGTGAACTGGACTTACGGGTGATGACGCGACATGGTGGGCGATTATGCGCCAAAGGTCGCCAGGTGTGCTGAGGTTGAAAGTCGCGGGGTCTGAGAAGCGACTGCGGTGTTGATCGCAAAGTTGCGATATGCTTGCAATGATGGCGACGAAGAGGTAGTCAACACCGTTCAGCCTCGCCACCTCTTCTCGACGTTTCTCCCGCGGTAATTGGTACGGCCGCCGTCTGATCCGTACCGAAGTGGGGTCATTTGCGGGGCGCCCTCTTCTGAGTGGCCAACCCCGCTGACAAACCTCAGCCTTGGAGCTTCACGCAGGAGCTTTTGAGCTTCAATAGGTACCACGGCGAAGTCGCATCCAACATCACCCGGCCGGGACGATACCGATTTTTATTTTACATATTGCAGCATCGTCGCAAATAGTCTAAAAGACTCTGGAGTCTGCGCGACGTCGATAATGGCGACCCTTACGGAGTACGTCTTCTCAACACTTTTTGGGAAAGAACAACGAGCTGACACGCATGCTAGGGCACCACCCGCCGACGCCATCGATCCCGAGCCGGTCAGCCCCGAAGCCGAGGTTTCCCAGAAGCGCAAAGCTGCATCGGTATCTGAGGAGCCCGAAGAGACGTCGAAAAGACCGAGAATCGAGGATGCCGACCATCGCGACCAGCGCGCGCAAGAGCCCAGAGTCTCGCCAACAGCCACGAGGTCGCGCGATGCGGACGTAGGCGGCAGCGCCGCCCGTCGGGGCAATCTGTCAAAAGAGGAGGAGAAGAAGCGCGGAAAGAGACTATTTGGCGGTCTGCTGAGCACGCTCAGTCAGACCAACACCAGCTCCCAGCACAAGAAGCGCAGGGAGGTCGAACAGCGACAGCAGGAGAGGGCGCAGAAACAAAGGGCGGAGGCCGACAGGAGGCGGGCGGAGAAGCTTGACAGGATCACCGAGGTGCGCTGGCAAGAGCAGATCAAGTTTGATGAGAAAGTCGTGCGTGGACGGTTCCTCCCTTGCGAGCATGCGCTCCGGTTTCGCTGATTACCCCCTCACAGATGAAGACGCGGCACTCCAACATGCTTGCAATGGCGCATTCGCTCCGGACAAAGACACAGCCTCAAATCGTATGTATTCCATCGGTACATGTAGGTATCATGCTGACTGATGATGTAGTTCTTCCGGCCATGGAAGCTCACCAGGGAGCAAGAAGACGAGATAGACGATCAGATACAGGACGCCAAGGCGACCATCGCGAGAGAGGTCGAGGTTTTCAACGAGCGAAGAGAAGAGCACGAGCGGCGCTACGGTCGGAGCAGGCCGCCCACGAGACAAGAGCAGTCTGCGCCGGTGACTGCTGAAGCTTCGACAGATGCAACCTCCGCCCCAGAAGCTCCACCAGCGGAAGCTTTAAAAGCCGACACTAATACATTGTCGCACGACACTGAGAGACACGACCGAGAGCCGCACGATGAGTCTGGCGATGTTGTCGAGGACGCCGAGGAGGATATGGTGATATACTAATGAAGAGAGCCGAAAGGTCTGTTGCGGCTCTCGAATATTCTTTTCAAACCTGGTATGAGGCTACGCTTTTTATCATTTTATCCAAAACGATTGGCGCCGGTGGACGGAAAGCGCTTTTTCTATTTCATGAGGGGCAAAAAGATTGAACGTCGGGTCACGATATACCAATTGGAGTTCAGAGCGGCATTGACTTAAAGATATCCACGACCCCCCGGAGATATGCAATACGAAAATCAAGGAACTGCAAGACATCAATTCATGGAGCGATCGAGACAATGAGCTGACTCGGCGTCGGCCGAGTGACGTGTGATGCGCGATACCGCCTCGGCTAGTGGGGACCCGTCACCTTTAGCAGCCGTTTGTGCCGTTGAAGAATCGGCGACTACCTCTAGATGCAGGCGGCAGATTTACAGTTTTCCGATCTGCAAGCTGCCAACGTCCTCGGAATCCGATGCTTTGTTTCTGTTGGGATGACACAATGGTGGTGTCTGGTTTCGAACCAACGATGCAGGGAGCTACTCCAACTCCCGGCGCGAGAGCGTTCGTTGCATGTCTCTGAGCCTCTGAGGTGGTTCCTGGGCGCTGGGCCGAGGCATCGCTGCAACGCGGACCGAGGCGCTAGGACGATTCCATCTAGAGACTCCGATGGCAGACATGCGAGAGCCCCGCGCGGGTGGGGTTGCCGGCCACGCCGGTCGCCAACGCAATGCGGCCCTCTGGTCTTCTGTGGCCGCGGCCGCCCACGGACCCCACGTCACGTCCTTGTCACTCGAAAGCTTGCCCCTCTTTCTCTGCTCGTCTGGCGCCGCCATCCCGCTCTTCTGTCACAGCTTGCGGGAAGCTTTTTGGGCAGTGTCGTTCGAGCTACCTTAGGCCGAGGCTCATTTGCACACCGCTCGTACGTTTTGGGTGATTCTACCCAGTTTACGTCGTGCAACACGCCTATTTTTAAATGACTCGGGCTTGACGACTCAACTCTTATAAGAGAGGATTTCGGGCGGCGTAGATCCCGCAACTGGCTCCGGCATCCTGCATACCCAACATCGGACTCGGATTCGTTGCTTCTCACCTCATTCCCCGCATCGGCACGGGATTCACCTTTCGGAGTAACGGCCGCTTTCTGGACTAGGGCTTCCTCCTTGGCAGACGTTACAAAGCCAACCTGTATATAAGGGACGAACGCCTGCTGCCCTCGACAAGAGCCTCACCAATGTCGTCTCTATCACTCGACCCAGACCACCATCTCACCTTCAACATGGCTGTCGACAAGATCGCGCCCAACGACCCCCGCATCGAGCGGAAGCAGGCCGAGGTCAGGGGCAAGACCTACTCCTACCTCTACGGCAAGCCTGAGGGCACCCCCAAGGGCACCGTCGTGCTCATCCACGGCTTCCCCGACATCTCCCTCGGCTGGCGCTACCAGATCCCCTTCTTCCTCTCCCAGGGCTACCAGGTCGTCGCCCCGGACTGCCTGGGCTACGGCCAGACCGCCTCCCCGGAGAAGCTCGAGGAGTTCTCCCTCAAGAGCATGGCGGACGACATCAAGGCACTCTCGGAGCACGTCGCGGGGCCCGGCGAGCAGATCATCCTCGGCGGCCACGACTGGGGCGGTGCCCTCGTCTGGCGCGTCGCCCTCTGGCACCCGACCCTCATCAAGGGCGTCTTCAGCGTCTGCACGCCGTACAACTCGCCCACGACGTACTGGTTCGACCTCGCCGACCTCATCGCCGCGGGCAAGTTCCACAACTTCAAGTACCAGCTGCAGCTGCGCGGCCCGGACGTCGAGGCCAAGGTCAAGACGCCCGAGGACATCCGCCAGTTCCTGCAGGGCATCTACGGCGGCCGCGGCCCCAACGGCGAGCTCGTCTTCACGACGGAGCAGGGCGTCGTGTTCGAGAACCTCGGCAAGATGGGCCCCACGCCGCTGCTGAGCGAGGACGAGATCGCCTACTACGCCGAGCAGTTCTCCCACAGCGGGCTCCGCGGGCCGCTCAACTGGTACCGCACGCGCAAGATCAACTACGAGGAGGAGCTGCCGCTGGCGGAGAAGGCAGAGAAGGAGGGGGCCGCGATCAAGATCCAGCCCGCGAGTCTGTTCATCCTGGCGAACAAGGACGCGGCGCTGCCGGCCTCGATGGCGGCGGGCATGGACCAGCACTTTGTGGACCTGACGAGGGGCGAGGTGACGGCGACGCACTGGGCGCTGTGGGAGGCGCCGGAGGAGGTGAACAAGCAGATCAAGGAGTGGCTGGATACTAAGGTCAACAAGCCGACGGCGAACTTGTGAGTTTTGATTTTGATTTAATGGATTGGAAGAGCATGGCATTAACGATGTGGGCAAAAAAGGCAGGAGTAATTTTGTAGTCGGGAATGACTAGAAACGATGAATATGAAATTTTTTTGGCAAGCATTGCTTGCTCTCTCTATGCTTCTGAGGTTTGCCTGTATGGCATGTCTGCGCTTACACGTGCGAATGGTTATCCTATTGCGGCCATGCGGTGCGACGTGACCTTCGACTGGTTTGACCAACCTCAGCTTCAACGGGCCAAGCTATCCGCGCATATTCCTTATCAGCCACCTACTCCCAGCCGTCGTCTCTTTCTTGATCGAATCGACGTTTACTTGTTTCCTGGCGGATTCTGACCCAACTGTGATGCACTGCTTGCGCGCAGCTATTCCGGACCACCTCGTATCTACCGTCATTTATGTATCGGCTAGAAGCGTACGATAATCCTCATCGACATCGGCGCAACGTCCTCTTCTATCATGTTATCTGAATGCCCTGATGTCCTTCACTTCAACGTAAACTTCTGCCCCGCAACAGCAGGCGCGGCGGTCTTCTTCTTGTTGGGCTTGCCGCACGAGGCGCAGGAGTCGGCGCGGTAGGCGCACGACTGGCAGAGGGCGTGGCCCTGCGAGACCTTTGTCTTGCACTTGGAGCACGCGCTCGAGTACTGAGCGTAGGGGTTCTTGGCGGCCTTGGAGAGCAGCTTGCTCTTGCCGATGCCGGTGCTGCCCAGGGTCGCTTTCGAGGAGGACGCGGAGGATGTGGCGGAGCCGTGGTAGATTTCGCTCTTCTTCTTGACGGAGGGCGTCGCGAGGGTTGTACCGCCCTTGCCGAGCTTCTGGCACTTTGCGCAGACCATGGCGTGGTTGATGGATTGGTAGCTGGAGATGAACGTTGGGATGGGATTGAGGGATGGTTGGTGACAGTCGTGATGGTCAAGACGATGACCGAGGAACCGACTATCGATAAGATAACGGTTGACGAAGATAGCGCCACTAGCGGGATATATTACCTAAGACGTGGCTCGGGTGGCTGGAAAGCTAGACTGCGAAGTGACGCAACATCACAGGCTTCCGCGTTTAGAGTGCAGAGCGGCGCCGTGTTCTGCTGAAATCTTTGGTGCAGAAGGTGGGCCGGGACCAGACCAGAGGGCGGAGCTAGCGCCCTACCGAAGCTGGGATTCGCAAACGACACCTGGCGGGATCGTGGATTAGCGCAGGTAGCCACAATAGGGGCCCTCTGAATGTTTTCTCTCTTTCGCTGACTTTTCACGGGGTCCCCAGCCAGTCTGGAATTGAAACTGGATCTGCTCATCAGCTTTCTTCAGCGATACGTCCGCCTCGCCAGCCAACGGGGGCCACGGTGGCAGGCCAAGTCAGGGGCAATGGACGTTTGCGCAGGACAATGCTTGGTATGGTTTCCAACTTTCCAAGATGGCCGAGCCAAATTTCGTCTGGTCAATTCGGACGAGCGAGATATCGTATCCACACGTAATCACAGATCGCTCGGGGCGAGTGGACGAGGGAAATTTTTTCTCTGGTTCTGCGGGAGATGCTTAATTCCTTTCCCTGGTGACCTTTATCTCACGGGCTGGAAGGGGGGCCTGGCTCTAGCAACCTGGCCTGGGACCTTTCGCCTCGTCTTGTTTTGTTTCCTTTCGCCTGGCTCCAGGGCCGGCGTTGTCGGTTAAGCGTTGGCAGTTGGGGGGTCACTGTCTGAGCGACGGCGCAATTGCTCGAGCAATGACCGTTGATAACCCCAGGGGAACAGACTAAAGTGCTGCTGTGCTGTTGGCTCGCTTGCGTTAATCTCAGTGGCTGACTGACGGACGGTCTGACAGCTCCGAGATTCCGCAGGTCCCTCACCTCATGTTCCCCAGATTCAAGTGACGATGGAGGGAGAAAGCACGCAAGACGGACAGATGCATTCCTTAGGTCCTGCCATCGTCCAGTGTCCGGCATGAGGTACATAGTCAGTCAGCCCTGCCGTCGTAGGTATCGTGGCTGAAGGACACCGGACTGGCAGACCCCATCGTCTTGGCCCGTCAGCTCGTCCCATCCGGTACGAGAGAAGACGATTGTCGTGGAGGTCGACTGCAGCCAGTCGTGCGTCTAAGCCGGGGAGTTGGAGGTCTGAAGCCCATGGGAGCGGCCACTAAACGGCCCACGAATAGTAACATGCCCCACGTGCCCCTATCGGTGGAGCTGGCACCCCCAAGGGCCAAATCATGCCCAGGCTCCAGGTTGTTCGCAGGTTTGTGTTGTGTTGTGCGTGAGTGAGAGTGCCCGGCTGGTTGGCTGGTAAGAGCGCAAAAGAGGTGGAAGCACCGCAAAACAGCGCCGCAAAACAGAACCTTTACCGGGGAGACAGACGCACTGCCAGCTGCGACCAGCCCAGGGCCAGGCCAGACACTGGACCGGGACCACCTCAGACGGATGAGACTGGACCCCTTCAGCTTCTCCAACCAACCAAGGCGCCCCTCCCCTCCTGGGTCTCCTCCACCCTCCTCCTCCTCCTCAGCGTCCCCCCAATTGACCATTGCCCCAACCAGCCTCATCAGTTACTGCCACCTGCGCAGCACCATCCATCCATCCATCGCACCCGCACCCGCAGCACCACCTACACCTTGTTGCCCTGCCTGCTTGCCTGCCTGCACCGCTGCACTGCTGTGCTTCTCCCAGGTCGTCTCGTCTCGTCCCGTCCGTCGCTCCCTGGCGCCGCCTGTTCAAGCAAAGCACCCAGCACCTCAAACACGACCATCCGCAGATCCCATCTCTTCTCCCGCCAGACGAGACTCCTCGCATCACCTCAATTCCTGGCCTCCCGGTCTCAAAAGACATCCCCTCTTGTTTCCGACTGCCAATACATACACAACCAACATACATCATACACCACCCATAGCGACTGCGTTGCTTTGCATTCTGGTACTTTGCAGTACTACGGCACTCTTGTCCGACCATTCCAGGCTCAGCCTACGTCGACTTGCGTCTACGTCGCCTCCGTCCAGCACCCTCCGCCCGTTGACGTAGCGCGAACCCGACCACTGTGTAATCCTAATCCTGCGCCAGAAGGAGGCTGTGCTGCAACAAATACGGATTGCTGGGCCACTCTTTTTTCCTGCCAGCAGCTACTACCGCCATTGCCCAGCTGCGGCGCCCATTATCACGCTGATCAGTCTCACTGCCGTCGTCGTCGTCGCCTCGTCGTCTCTCTCACCCGCTGCCGCCGCGGTTACGAATTCCATTGACCTGTCGACCGACCAAAGGTAGCCTGCCGAAAACGCTCCGCTCTTGCCGCCTTTCGCCCTTTTTCGATTCCCATCGCTCCTTCCTTCATGTGTCCGGAAACACGACCTTAATCCACGAACCCCCCGACCTCGCATGCTGGACATTCCGACACCTTCACACCTTGATCGCCCAGCAACAGCAACACAACCAGTCTCCCCCGCATGGCTGGACGACCGACGGGAGGCCCTCCTGGAGGACCTTCCAATAACGATCTGTTACTAGATCTGGAGAACGACCAACCCGTCTACGGTGGAGGACAGCGATCCGCGATGAACGATGACGACCTGTTGCGATCCTACGCCCACGAGCAGGACCAGGCTCAGGGTCGCCCTTCCGTATCCTACGACGACTTTGTTGGTGGCGGAGGAGCTGGAGGAGCTGGACACAATGCGCAACAACCTTCGACATTGAGACCGCAAGCCGCCGGCCCCTCGTCCCCCGGCGTCGGTGGCGGCGCTGCTTCCGGCACTCCCTACATGCAGAGGCATTACAGCCAAACTTCAGAATTGAACAATTATCAGCGATACGCCGACGACTTCGACGACTACCCGACCGAACACGATTCTTACTACCAACAGGGAGGAGCTACCACGAGCCAGAACAATGTCGCGGATCCCTCCGGCAGGGCCAACGCCCGGAACCGTAACAGCGTTCTCAGCCTGGGCGGTGGCTTCTTTGGCCGCATGAAGAATAGACTGGGCATGGGCCAAGGGTACTCGGAGATGGATCTTCCTTTAACAGAGGCTGGCCAGGGACGAGCTGCCGGCGCGGATCAACAGGCTAAGCAGGGCAAGAAGTTCGACATGGGCAACTTCAAGTTTGGCTTCGGTCGCAGCAAGCCGGACCCCTCGACTTTGGGTCCCAGAATCATCCACCTCAACAACCCGCCTGCGAACGCCGCGAACAAGTATGTCGACAACCACATCTCGACGGCGAAATACAATGTCGCAAGCTTCCTCCCCAAGTTCCTCTTCGAGCAGTTCTCCAAGTTCGCCAACATTTTCTTCCTGTTCACGGCTGCGCTGCAGCAGATCCCCAACCTCTCGCCCACCAACCGATACACGACGATTATCCCTCTCTTCATTGTTATGCTGGTCTCTGCGGGCAAGGAATTGGTGGAGGACTACCGTCGCAAACAGGCTGACAATGCGCTGAACACGTCCAAGGCGCGCATCTTGCGCGGCACCGGCTTCCAGGAGACCAAGTGGATCAACGTTTCAGTGGGAGATATCATCCGTGTAGAATCCGAGGAGCCGTTCCCCGCCGATCTTGTTCTCCTTGCCAGTTCCGAACCGGAGGGCTTGTGTTATATCGAAACAGCCAACCTTGACGGAGAGACCAACCTGAAGATCAAGCAAGCTCTCCCGGAGACATGTGCCATGGTCAGCTCCAGCGAGCTGAGCAGGCTCGGCGGCCGCATCAAGTCTGAGCAGCCCAACAGCAGCTTGTACACATATGAGGCCACTTTGACGATGCAGGCTGGCGGCGGAGAAAAAGAGCTGCCTTTGAACCCCGAGCAGCTCCTCCTCCGTGGTGCCACTCTGCGAAACACTCCCTGGATTCACGGTGTCGTTGTCTTCACTGGCCACGAGACAAAGCTCATGCGCAACGCCACGGCGGCACCCATCAAGCGCACAAAGGTAGAGAAGAAGCTGAACATCTTGGTCCTGGTCCTGGTCGGCATCCTCCTCGTCCTCAGTGTTATTTGCACAGTGGGCGATCTCGTTCAGCGCAAGGTTGAGGGACAGGCCCTGTCCTACCTGCAGCTCGACTCCACAGGTTCCGCGAGCGACATCATCAAGACCTTCTTTAAGGACATGGTCACATACTGGGTCTTGTTCTCCTCTCTGGTGCCTATCTCGCTTTTCGTCACCTTGGAGATGGTCAAGTACTGGCACGGCATTCTTATCAACGACGACCTGGATATCTACTACGACAAGACGGACACCCCGGCAAACTGCAGAACATCCAGTTTGGTGGAGGAACTGGGCATGGTTGAGTATGTCTTCTCCGACAAGACTGGTACCCTTACCTGCAACATGATGGAGTTCAAGCAGGCCTCAATTGGCGGAATCCAGTACGCAGAGGATGTCCCGGAAGACCTCAGGGCTACGATCCAGGATGGTGTTGAAGTAGGCATCCACGACTACAAGCGATTGGCCGAGAACCTCAAGAGCCACGAGACCGCCCCCGTCATTGACCACTTCTTGTCTCTGCTGGCTACCTGCCACACGGTTATTCCCGAGCGAAGCGACGAAAAGGGCGGCAAGATCAAGTACCAGGCAGCTTCTCCCGATGAGGGCGCCCTGGTCGAGGGCGCGGCAGAGCTTGGCTACGTCTTCACGGATCGCAAGCCGAGATCAGTCTTTATCGAAGCGCATGGACGGGAAATGGAATACGAGCTGTTGGCGGTCTGTGAATTCAACTCAACCCGAAAGCGCATGTCGACGATTTACCGGTGCCCCGATGGAAAGATTCGCGTTTACTGCAAGGGAGCCGACACTGTCATTCTCGAGCGTCTCAACGACCAGAACCCGCATGTTGAAGCTACCCTCCGTCACTTGGAAGAATACGCCTCCGAGGGTCTGAGAACACTCTGCTTGGCCATGCGCGAGGTTCCCGAGCAGGAATTCCAGGAGTGGTACCAGATCTACGACAAGGCATCCACCACGGTCGGTGGTAACCGTGCCGACGAGCTGGACAAGGCCTCCGAGCTCATTGAGAAGGACTTTTATCTCCTTGGTGCGACCGCTATTGAAGATCGTCTCCAAGATGGTGTCCCTGAGACTATCCACACGCTCCAGCAGGCCAACATCAAGGTTTGGGTTCTCACTGGTGATCGTCAGGAAACCGCCATCAACATTGGCATGAGTTGCAAGCTCCTTAGCGAGGATATGATGCTTCTCATTGTCAATGAGGAAAGCGCTGCCGCGACCCGAGACAACCTGCAGAAGAAGATTGACGCTATTCGAACTCAAGGCGACGGAACGATCGAAACGGAGACCCTAGCCCTCATTATCGACGGCAAGTCGCTTACTTTCGCTCTCGAGAAGGACATGGAAAAGCTCTTCCTCGACCTCGCTGTCATGTGCAAAGCAGTCATTTGCTGCCGTGTCTCTCCCTTGCAGAAAGCCCTGGTCGTCAAGCTGGTCAAGAAGTACCAAAAGGAGTCCATCCTGCTCGCCATCGGTGATGGTGCCAACGACGTCTCCATGATTCAGGCTGCTCACATCGGTGTTGGTATCAGTGGTATGGAAGGTCTCCAAGCCGCCCGAAGTGCCGACGTGTCCATTGGACAGTTCCGCTACCTCAGAAAGCTCCTGTTGGTTCACGGTGCCTGGAGTTACCAGCGTGTCGCCAAGACAATTTTGTTCTCATTTTACAAGAACATCACCCTCTACATGACCCAGTTCTGGGTTAGTCTCCCCCAACTCCCGCCTAACTGCATGCTTGCTAACATCCACAGTACACGTTCCAAAACGTCTTCTCTGGCGCGGTCATTTACGAGTCTTGGACGCTGTCATTCTACAACGTTTTCTACACCGTCTTACCCCCCCTGGCCTTGGGTATCCTTGACCAGTTCATCTCGGCTAGACTTCTTGACCGCTACCCCCAGCTGTACACCATGGGCCAGCAGAACCAGTTCTTCAAGATCAAGATCTTCGCCGAATGGGTCGCCAATGCCATCTACCACTCCATCATCCTCTATGTGTTTGGCGAGCTCATCTGGTACGGTGACCTCATCCAGGGCGACGGACAGATTGCCGGTCACTGGGTCTGGGGTACTGCACTCTATGCCGCTGTTCTTCTCACCGTCCTGGGCAAGGCCGCTCTGATTACGAACAACTGGACCAAGTACCATGTCATTGCCATCCCCGGCAGCATGCTCTTCTGGTGGGGCTTCATCGCTCTCTACGGTACGGTCGCGCCCATGATCCCATTCTCGGCCGAGTACCACGGTGTCATTCCCAAACTGTACAGCAGCCCCGTCTTCTGGTTGCAGACGATCTCACTGGCCATAATGTGTCTATTGAGAGACTTTGCCTGGAAGTTCGCCAAGCGCATGTACATGCCGCAAACCTACCACCACATCCAGGAGATTCAAAAGTACAACATTCAAGATTACAGACCAAGGTATGTAGCAGCCCTTTGCGTGTTGTTGGATGTGATAACTAACATTTATCAAGAATGGAGCAATTCCAAAAAGCTATTCGCAAGGTGCGCCAAGTACAGCGCATGCGCAAGCAGCGTGGCTATGCCTTCTCGCAGGCAGACGAGAGCCAAACGAGAGTTCTACAGGCCTACGATACAACGCAGCAGCGTGGACGGTACGGCGAGATGACCAGCTCGAGGCCTCAAGGAAGGTAACCTCGCACTGTCAGCGCTGCCACCATCGCCCCTAAGGAAGGGCGGCGCTGCGAAAACAAAAAAAGAAGCCTATGATGATCACGATGAAAGGGGCCGGCTGCGTTTTTTACTTATTATTATTACTGGTGTATTCCCAAACGAATGGTAATGCAAAGGCAGCGACGACAGCACGATGTAAATTTTTGTTGGTTTATTTTTTCTTCACATCCCTTCTCGCTTCCTATTCTTATATGCATGGTCGGGATCTCCCTCATCAGAATAAGCAGAGGTCCCAATGGGCTGGCGTTTTCGCTTTATTTTTTCTTCCAAAAAAAAACTTGATTACCCGCTTCCCTCGGGCTGCCTGTATCCCAACACGTGTGTGGTTTGTTCTCGCAAACACACATGTATGGTACACGGGCAAGTCGGCACACAAGCACCCACACCAAAGCACCGAAGGAAAGAAAGGCCGCAGGGCGATGGAATACTACGCACGTGGGAATAACGAAAGGACAAGAAAAATGGATTAGGCAATGAAAACTCATGTCAAGATGCGGCAGGTCCGAGGAGAGGAAAGGATTTGTTTTCTGAGATGACGCTGGAGGGCTGTGTGGACGAGGAGACAGGGAGGTGATGATAGTGTTGTTAGTAGAGATTTGACGAATCGAGAGTATCCGATTCGCGTACGTTGGTTCTTTTTTTTCAGGGACGGCGGGCGTTTTGGTTCTCGGACCACAATGAATTGACCCAGTATCCTCCTCATTCATCCGTTCCAAATCGTTGAGACCCGTATTGCGAGAATGTTCGTATAAAAGCATACGTTCAAAGCTATGGAGTGGCAGGGGCAGGTCTAGTTCATGGTTGATTGTATTGATACCTAAAGGTCGTACTCTATGCCTCATTCTCAACGTGGACGGGCGTAAACTATACACAAGAAGAGAGATTTATCCCCCGCTGACAGCAACGGGCAACCCTTAGTCCATCGCGAAACGGTCGGTGAACCTGAACGTCGCCAGTCCCGCCTTGAAGTCCTCCACGAGGGCACTCACACCATCAGCCGAGTAGACGCCGTCGCCGTCCTCCACGCCGAGCGAGGGAGACCTGCTCAGCGCCGTGTTGAGACCGCCGACGGGCTTGCCCCACCTGTAGGAGTCGATGACGAGCTGCGCGGGGCGGCCGGCCGGGTAGAGGGGCGACTTGTTGGTGCCGTTGAACAGGCTCTCGGCGCCGCTGGCGACGACGACGCCGTCGAAGGAGGTCGCGTCGGCCTGGGCGTACGTCATGTCCACGCCGTCGGCAAGCTTCTCGGCGATGACGGTGACGAGGACGCCGTCGGCCGCGAAGGCGTCCTTGAGCTGCGCGCCCTGGGCCACGGATCCGTTGACGGCCTGGCTGGCGAGCACGCCGACCTTGAGCGTGGCGATGGTAGGCAACTTCGAGCCGAAGATGGAGAGGCCCTGGGTGGTGTTGTCGTGGTAGTACGTGGGATCGGGCTGGAGGTGGGCCATGCCGAGGGCGTCGGCGACGCGGTTGGCGATGTCGTTGGAGATCTTGTTGAGCTGGGTGAGCACGTTCTGCTTGACGGTGTCGGACTCGAGGTGGCTTGTCTCAAAGCGGATAGCGTTGACAAGGAACTGCTGCTCGGCGGGCGTGAGGGAGTTGTAGAAGAGGCGCGGCTGAGACCAGTGGTCGTCGAAGGTGTCGGAGACCTCGCGGACGAGGTGGCCGGTGACGGTGCGTCCCGGGGCCGTGAAGAAACCCCGTCCTTGGGTTTGGTTCGCCTGCGCGGGGAAGCCCTTGTTCAAGGTGTTGGGCGTGTCTGCACTTGGGTCAGCATCCAGTCATCTCATCTGGGCAAGATCATAACTCACATGGGTATTTATTGCGGTGGATAACGTTCTGGCCCGCACCGTCCCGGTTGTTGTTGTGGATGGGCGTTACTGGACGGTTGATGGGCAGCTGCTCAAAGTTGGGGCCGCCGTGGCGGTTGATCTGGGTATCCAGGTACGAGAAGATGCGGCCTTGGAGCAGGGGGTCATCGGTGAAGTCGACGCCTCTGACGATGTGGCCGGGTTGGAACTGCCGCTGGTTAGTTGTGGGCCAGGGGTGGCTGGGATAGAGACATACCATGATCTGCTCTGTCTCTGCAAAGTAGTTGACCGGGTTGGCGTCCAGCTTCATCTTGCCAAGTCTCTGGAGAGGGGCAATCTCCTCAGGGACGATCTTGGTAGGGTCCAGGAGGTCGAAGCCGTACTTGAGGGTGTCCTCCTCATCGAGCACCTGGACGCAGAGCTCCCATTCGGGGCCGTTGCCGGACTGGATGGCATCCCAGAGGTCTTGGCGGTGGTAGTCGGCGTTCTTGCCCGAGACAATCTGGGCTTCTTCCCAGACCAAGCTCGCCTTGCCCTGGAGAGTCTTCCAGTGCCACTTGACGAGCTTCGAGGTGCCGTCCTCTTTTACGAGGCGGAAAGTGTGCACGCCGTGGCCGTCCTGAGACTGTTATTAGCTATGTTTCCTGAACTCCGAGACAATTATGCTCACCATGTGGCGGTAGCTTCTGGGAATGCCGTATCCGGCCATGGCCCAGAACAGGGTGTGCAGAGTGCTGGTCTGAGAGCTGAAGAAGTCCCATGCCGAATCGTGAGCGGTAGCCGCCTGGGGGATCTCGTTGTCGGGGCTTGGCTTGACGGAATGGATCAGGTCGGGGAACTACGGATCGTTGGATCAGTGCTTTTGGAGCTTTTCTCGACCGGCACTCACCTGGATCGCATCCTGAATGAAGAACACGGGAATGTTGTTTCCCACGATATCAAAGTTGCCCTCGTCCGTGAAGCTATTCCGTTAGCGCATGAAGTTCACCAGATGTCGGCCAGTACATACAATCTCGTGGCAAAACCATGGACGTCTCTTGCTGTATCGGCACTTCCCCTGGATCCAGCGACTGTAGAGAACCGCACGAATGTCGGCGTCTCCTTACCATTCTCACTGAGGAATGACGCCGCGGTAAGATTGGAGTAGTCGCCATAGCTGGTGAATGTTCCGTAGGCACCGGCCCCTCTGGCATGTACAGCTCGTTCAGGGACCTGTGGGCGCATTGGTTAGCCATGAAAGCGAACGACAGCTCAGGAGATTCTTACTCTCTCGTGGTCAAAGTGAGTAATCTTCTGGCGGAAGATAAAGTCCTCTAGCAAAGTCGGACCGCGGATGCCGGCTTTCAAACTGGTCTGATCCTCGATTGGGCCGCCAACGTCGGACGTCAGGTAGCCTTCGCTGTCGTCGACTTCGTAGCTCGCAACGTGATCGCGCGAGCCATCATCATCGGAGCGCGCCTTGATGTTGGCCGGGTCTGCAAAGGGGCAGCCGGCGGAGGAGAGGGTGGCCAGGCCGAGACCGGCCAGCAGCAGGGTGGTATGCATATTGGGTGTGCGCCAAGGGCTGACTGTGACAAGTAGCTCGCCTGCTGGATATCGGAACCAGCTTCAGACCACGGAACGTTTCCAATGTCTTGTACGGAAAGGATTGGTACTTTTCCAAGACTATCGACTAAAACGAGAAAACAATGGAGGGCGGCAGGCTACTTATGAACACCAGAGGTCTAGATTGACAAGCGGAGCTCTATACAAGCTAAAGACGACTAGGGGAAAAGCATTATGAACTCAATTCGAGGGCAGATCGGCAAGAGAATGACACTTGTCAGAGCACAAGCCCAAGAATTGTGCCGGTATTGCTAATCATGAGCTTGTGGAGGAGGTCTTCACCGGCCCGGCAAAGGCACTAAGGCAGGAAGGCAGCTTTGCCCAGAACAAAAACACATCCACATCCCGGGGCAGGTGAGCACAACAGCACTGCTTCCTGTGAAGGAGGCACGGCCAGGACTGAGGAATGACAGCATCATAATCACATCAGGCAAGGAGCCCCCCACAAAAAGGGGGGCGCCCAAGGAGGAAAGAGAGGGGTGACAGATGTTGAGATTGGAAAACGAGTTGTTGTGATTCATCCCAGAAGCGTCCACAGTCCCGGACCTCTGATGTTGTGTGCTCATGGCATGCCTTGGCCGCAGTTTGTGTGCCTCACGGGCGAGGCAGGCAAAACATTGACGGTACTACCGTCCATGGCCCATGGATCCAGCCTACGCTCGATATAAGGTTACATCTAGACAACGTGGGCTATTGGAGGGGCTAGAGCTCGGTCCGGGTTGTCTAGTGCTGGCGTGAGAAGGGCGATGGAGCGTGGTTGGAAGAAGGGTGGAGGGGGCGCCGTTGCGGCAGTTGTGAGGCCCAGGAGGGCGGCGGCGCTGCTTGGCCTTACTTAGATTAGTTCAAGCTAGGAACAGAACATGCGGCTGCGGGAGATCGAAGCCCGGCACCGGACGATGCCATCATCCCAAGTCTGTGCGAGTCTGTGTGCTTCCAGGAGGGCTGGTACCTGGGTCTTGGCCCAGCACCCGTGTACAAGGGAAAACGCAAAACACAGAAGCGACCGCGTCGTCTCGTGGTGATTTTTGTGCGACATTGAAGGGGGAAGCGGCTCAGGCGATGGACCGGTGGCCGCCGAGCAAGGCACCGGCCACGGCGTGCGTAATGTTGGGATGGAAATGGGAGTGAAGAACGGCCGCGGAGACGACCGTCTGTCCGCCATGTCTAGTCTATGACGAAGAATGGAGAAGCAAGAAGTCGATTTGGGATGGGATTGGGGGCCAGTAAACCTGGCCTACGGGAGGGACGTTGAGAGATAAAATGGTCCCCGGGGACCCTCGTCGACCAGGACTTGAAGCGTTCTCTAGACATGCTCAAGTGTGATGGAAAGGGCTGGGTACTTTTGCCAAGTCCCAGTGCTGCAAAGTAAGTAGAGAGGCGGGCGAATGAGACAGGAGACCAAATCCGCATGCAGATTCAAATCCCGGCGCTGGGATGGAAAAGGAAAAGAGCTCGCTGCATGAGGTTGAGGTTGAGGTTGACAAGGCCGAACCGCCATCGTCATCGTGCGGGCCCTCTGGTGGGGCCGTTCCTCGCTGATCACCCAAGAGGAAAATACTGTGCTGCGTTGCCCGGGCCTCTGTAATACAAATCACCTCAGTCGAAGCGAGAGACCGGGTTTGTTGCTGCCGCCTTGGGATCGCGTGGACGGGGGTTTTCACGGATGGGGGGTTGCAGCGCAGTCTATCCAAAAAGTTTCCGTGTGAGTCCCAGGATTGAGGTTCGTCTGGGCCAGATGAACGGTCGCAGGCGGCAGGCTCATTGCGCCGGGATAATACTCTGAGGCATCTTGGTGGTGATTGAATTGCGGCTCGCTCGCGGTTTATCATGGCCGCGAAATGAGATGGTTCTCCAGAGATTGGGTCAGGATAAAGAGCCCTCGGCACTTTTCGGAGGCGGCATCGAGTGTAGGAAGACTTGAAATGGCTCGAAAAGAATGTTAGAGATGCGAAATTACGATAATGACGCAAATTAGATGTACTCTTTTTCGAGCGATAAGTCTCTAGAGAGCTGGGAGAACTACATGTCTTCTTGCGTTCAGAAAGACGGGCACATCCAATTACACAGATGCCGACTCTTGGTTCCGTTACAGCAGCCGAGAAGCCCTGTAGTTTGCAAATCTGGATGGGTTGGCAGCTGCACACCGGAAGCAAATGCAAATGTTCAACGCAAGTCACATACGCGCAAACATCTAAAGGTTGGGGCGAGCAGATGGAAACAAGTCCAAGGAAACGTGCCCTGCAGGGGAGCGCACTGCAACCTCCCGGAGGTCTGTCCGGGACGGAGCCGGGGTTTGAGGGGCAGCCAGGGCACTACGTACCGATGGCGCGCAATTCATCGATCGCACAGAGCTCTTTGCTTCCTTTTCCGCTGACCTGCCCCAGCCAATGATCGTGTCTACATTAGCACAACAGAAAACGGTGGGAGGGATGGCCGTCATTTGACTTCCCGTCATCCCATCTTGCTCCAGCCTCTTAACTGTGCCGCCGCTACCAAGACGTGATATTCCATAAATAAACCCAAGCTTCACGGTATTCACATCTAGCCTTAATTCACACCGCATATGTGCGCCTCTTCCCCTCTCTTATTTATAGACATGTCAGACCATTTAACCAGAGAGCCAAGCTTCAACGCGGATGGTCAACTGCTCTCACCTGCCCAACCGTTATGAATCTTGGCGACTGTCGTCTACGAAAGCACCGGACGCGCGCCCAGTGTCCCGCAATTGCTTCTTCCGAACAAGACCGTCCATGATCAACCCAGAGTAGCAGGCGGAATGCAAGGCGGAAATCCCGCAAAAGCAACAATCACGGTACAACCTTCCAAAACGAAAAAGAAGGCCATTCGAAACCGGCAAGGCTCTGCAGTTAGTCACTTTAGTCTCCCTGGTTCGCATGCCACCCACCGTGGTGGTGAGGTCCCGTCTCGCTTCCCTCTTGCGGGGCCTCCTGGCATCTGGCTCCGACCTCTCTGCCGAGCCGAGGCCGGGGACAAACATCGCTTGCGGGCCCGTTTCCCTTAGCCTGGGTAACCCACCAGGACTCCACGCAAAGTTTTTGGTGATTTGAAATCATAGGGAATCGTTTGGAAGACCGAGACTACGTGAAGAATTTGTCCGGCATCGGCTCCATCTCGAGACTTCTCTCATGCCGATTGAGCCGACGTGCTGTTGAAGAAGGAAAGAGAACGAGAATCCGAGCCTACCCTCGCAGCCATCATGTAGGTATGCAGACCAGTTTCAAGGGTGCAACGGCGTTGTAGAATTCCGGCGTCAGGTGTACTGCTCTCCAACCCCAGCTCAGGGTTCTGCAAAAGCAACGGGAACATGCCTTGACGTGAGATAAACGAGGTCGTTTCTAGATTCGCTCATCCGTTTTGACTTTGCCGGTCGGGGAAAACCAGAGGCAGAGCATACTCCAGGCTCATCTCATTTGACCACCTCGGCTCGATTCGATTAAGAAACATATTTCACACCTCACAACAGTGCCTGACAAGCAAAGGCACACACGCACACGATAGTGTGGCACAGAAAGAGTGGTCGTATTGGTGGGGGACTTGCTTGAAGTTCATTGCTTTTGGTGTAAATGAGATCCTAGCTCGATGGCGTCCGCTGGTATCCGGCCATGGCTAACCCAAATGTTTCCCCCCAAACGCCTTGAAAATCCATGCCCCATTTTTCATCATCCATTTCTTTTGATATCCTGATCCGCTTAGTAGAAGAAGCCGATGACCTTGCCGGCAACGTGCTTGCGACGGGCCTCCTCGTGGTCCATGATACCAGCAGAGGTGGTGAGGATGACGTAGCCGAACTGACGGGCAGGGAGCAGCTTGACAACCCACTTCTCGAGGTCGGCGAGGCGGACGTTGTAGCGGGGGGAGATGACACCGCACTTGTTGAGGCGGCCGTTCAGCTGGACGACAATCTTGCCGGAGCGGTGGTCGTCGACCTCCTCGAACTCGCCGATGTAGCCTGGGAAATGTATGAGCGATGTGTTGCGGAAGACTAAAACTTTGACATCACGAGGTAAAATCCGAAAAAGGTGTAAGATCTCCGCGTTCAATATATCGGCAACTTATAGGGGCTGGGTCGTGGGAGTGAAAGAGACGGTCGCCCTAGTTATCATGCCGAATGTACAGGCCCATATTCCTCCAATGATAAAGAAAGAAAGAAAGGAGGCAGATGGGTGGGAAGTTGTCGTGACATACCGTGACGCTGCATGACCTGGAGGAACTTGACGATGACCTTGGAGCTAGGGCGGATGAGGACCTGGCGCTTGCCGGCCTTCTCGGCGTTGTTCATGCTCTTGAGAGCATCGTGGAGAACGGAGGTGCGGACCATTTTGGCGGTCGGTGAATGCGGAGATTCTCAAGTCTTGTGAAATGAGGTATCTGCCAGCGAAGAAGTAAATGTTAGCCTTCCGAGGCCTGTTGAGCGTGGAGAGTGCCCTCCCAGGCAGACAAGCCTTGATCGAGGAGAGGGTTCCGCCAGCTCATTGCTGAAGAGAGGAGCGTATCAGATGTCATCATCGTCGTCGGCGGCATGCAACAGAGGCCTCGAAGAAATCATCGTGTTCTCGTGTGTCGCGCGCGACTCGTCTGATTGCTCCTCTCCGGCATCAAGGAAAAGGCGAGAGTTCCTGCTTTGATCAAGGCGGCATGATGAGCATCTTTGCACGTACCTCGTTGAGTAGTGGTGCCGCTGAAGGTTAGGCAATTGGCGATGGATGGAGATCGGGATGGAGGAGAGCAGCAGAAAAGGGCGAAGCTGTCGTGGACCAAACCCAGCAAAAAAATTCGCCAGTTCGGTTGTGGGTGGTCCGTGCCCGAGAAAAATTGCCCTAAGCGCACGGTTGGGCGACCCCACCGGCCAGCCAATAAGCGATCTCTGGTACTCTGTAATTTTTTCGAGCGCTGAACTCCTCTCCCGTGGAATCGCACAAGCACCATTTTATTCATAAACTACCCATACACATCACAACACCACTCTTCGAGGATCGCACCGACAGAGACTTGACGCAAAATTCCAAGATGGTGAGTCTCCGCCGACTACCCCCCGCACGAATCCCCCTCGCCGCGCCCTTTCGCATTGTCTGTCGCGTGCTCAATTGAGAGGTGCCGGGCAATTGGAAACTATGCGGCGTGCGGCCGAGGCCGATCGAGACCCTCCCCCCGAGCTTCCTTCATGGGGGCTTCGCGCCCCCTCTCCATTGTCGTTGCAGGATCAGACTCGCTGACTGATGGGTTGCGCAATCGTTGTAGTCGGACGTAGAAGAGAACAACGCCCCCGAGGTGGCCGAGGAGGTCGAGGTTTCCGCCGATGCTGGCTCCAAGGGCCAGATGTCCGTTCTGGACGCCCTCAAGGGTGTTCTGAAGCTGGCCCTCATGCACGACGGTCTTGCCCGCGGTCTCCGTGAGGCTTCCAAGGCCCTCGACCGCCGCCAGGCCCACATGTGCGTCCTCAACGAGGCTTGCGAGGAGGAGGCCTACAAGAAGCTCGTCATTGCTCTCTGCTCCGAGCACAAGATCCCCCTGATCAAGGTTCCCGACGGCAAGCAGCTCGGCGAGTGGGCTGGTCTTTGTGAGTTACCCCGCGACGACGGATGCGATGTTGGAGGAGGGCGTGGACTAACAGGGAGACAGGCGTGTTGGACCGTGAGGGTAACGCCCGCAAGGTCGTCAACTGCTCTTGCGTCGTCGTCAAGGACTGGGGTGAAGAGTCCCAGGAGCGCTCCATCCTCCTCAACTACTTCCAGACCGAGCAGTAAATTTGGGTTGGCTTTCATGATTTGAATTTGGGCGTCACGACGGGGGTATAGAGGGGCGACGGGGAAAATCTGGAACCGCCGCAACGAACGAATCTTTCGGTTGTACTCTAGCTTCTTCAGCTGGCATCTCGAAACAAAAAATGGAGGACTCCCTCTGGAGGTCAGGTCATCTTGCATCAGGGCAAACAAAGAGAAACGGCATTGGGCACTCTTGAACCAAATTACTCGCGCACTTTTGGATGCTTTTAGTGATGTGGTGCTATGAATGTGGGCCGCTGCCCGGGAATCTACTTCTTTCCCTCCACCTGGTCGTAGGTCAGCATATGTGTAACAACACCTAGAGGCGGCTGTAATCAGTGTACGAACCATAATGATGTGGTAACCAAACTCCGTCTTCGCCTCCCCGATGACAGGGCTTGATGTTGAGCTTGTCGCGAGAGCGAATGCGACGTCCTCGAACTTGGGGTCCAAGCTACCCTTCGTCTTCCAACCCAGCGAGCCTCCTATCGAGCAATCAGAAAATCATTACCCCTCATGCCGTTGGTGAGTCACCCTGTCACTCGTTTCTTACCTTGCCTGGCCTTGTCTTCAGAGAACTCCCTCGCAACCTCATCAAACTTGGCTCCGTCTCTGATCTTGGCCATGGCCTCCTCCTTCTTTCCATGCTTCTCGCACTGAACCACTCGTCAGATGAAATCTCCGCAACCCCTCAACTCAAGCCTGCGCTCACCAGAATGTGGCGGACGTTGATGGACTGCGCGCCCTTCGCCTTGCCGCCCTTGTCCTCGCTCTCGCCCTTGCCTCCCTTCTTGCCACCGCCGGACTTTCCGCCGTCCTTCTTGTCGGCGGGCTTCTTGTCGTTTTTACCCATGCTGGCTGCGTGAAGTTGGCGTGATGGTGGTGTTGAAAATTGGGTTGACCACATGCGGTGGTGGGGGTTAAGGCACACCCTCTGTTTCTCAACCCAACCAACCAACACCCTGGGAGAGGGGTGTGACGAAATGCGGGGGAGATGACCCGAGCCGCCGCCGCCATGTCGGAGAGCAACACCACGAGTCTCACGCTATCATCGGACGCGCTCCAATTCTCAAACATGGCCTTTCTTAAGCTAACAAACACGTCTTCACTATTTAGCAGCGATCCAAATCATCCATCAAAAAACACGTCGTGACCCAAGAACCTCAGCCGTTCGTCATGGCTTTGACGCCCGCTTCACTGGACAGTCTTCCGACTGAGATCCTGTCAGAGGTCATCTCGTACATTGCCGATCTCAGGACACTCTATCATCTCATAACGGCTTCTCCATCCGTATCCCGCATCTTTGACAGCCCGACCATGGGCCCTGAGGCTTTCGAGCACGTCCTGGCAAACTCAACAGCTCCCCAAGTGTTTGGTTTAGTCCGACTCGTCGCCATTGTCCGAACAGCAACAGCAGATGACCCACCGGCAACATCCCTTGATGCCTTCGTCAAGCGGGCCAACCATCACATGCAACACAGCGGCCGGGGACAGTTCTACAGTAGCATCCCACCTCTGACCCGTACTTATCAACGTCAAAAAACAGGGGCCGTCAGGAGCCTCCTTCAGATCGCTCGCCGAATTGCTTATCTGACCCCAGCTTGTCTCTCCTACTACCGTGAACAATGGCTCTCGGCAACTCCCTCACACGCAGAAGGCGATATGCGCGGGTGGGTGTACAAGACTTGGAAGAATCGCTACGCAGGCCGCCCGTACAGTCCCGATGACATTGGCCCGCCCGTCTGGATCGAAGAGCACAGGGTGACGCGAGGGTTTTGGAGGCTGCAGCTGCTTTACGAACTCCAACGGGCAACCTCGGAGAACCGACTAGGCTGGAAGATGGATGAGACACGCGGTCCGGTCTCCGCGGAGGGCCTATACGGCGCGTTGCGTTATGAGAAGGAGGAATTCTTCACGGTGTCGGACTTCGTCAACCGCATCCAGGGGGAAAGCAGCTCGTGGAGTCTGCCGTGTCCAACTACGACGGCTTCAGTCACAGAATGGCCAGAGCCCGCGCCGCCTCTCGCAGTTGACGAGCCGGCAGGTCATACTCGCGGTTATCTCATGAGTCAAAACCCCGTCGGATGGGTTTACGCAAACATACGCCTCCGACACTTCCCGCCCTCGCCCATCCGCGGCGTTCCTCTGCAACCGTTCCGCCGGCTGGGACTGTTCATATGGGAGTACGACAAGTTGGTGAAGATGGAGCTGATGTCTCCCACAGGATATCCGTTTAGCGCCAAGGGGGAGCCGTCCAAGATGTACACATGGCGTAGCCTGCTGAGCCAGGAGATTCTGGCAGAGGTTGAAGAGAATCTGGACCTGGGGAGCAATCGCCGGCAGACGACGCATACCGACGCCGCGTTTGGACTGCCTCCTCTTTGAACAGTAATTATACTCAATACGATGTTTTGTTTAAAAACCAGCTTGCTCACGTTGTCTAGGGTGATTGGATGTTCCAAGTTCGGTCCAAGTGCAATCTTGTCGATTCGACCAGAGCGTGGGTCACTCTGTGCAACCGATTGCCTATCAGCTGGATAACCCATTCAAATTGTAGGTACCTCAGGCTAACCACCTCGAACACCTTGGAAAGAAGGGATGTTCTCGCCGGGATCTCCAGAAGCACGGTCGGTCAGCACCTCAGGCAACCGCGAGCACTGGCCAGCCTCTGTCGCCACCACCCTGCTGACTCACATTCCCAACTGCCGTTATCTATCGGTTTCTATTCCCTCATTTTCGCCTTCGGGCATTTGGTCAATTTGAAACGATACAGAGAAGATTAGCATGGCCCCTGCACTAAGGATGACACGCTCAATCAAAGAGAAGCTACCAATTTTTTCGCATTTCATTTGCATCGGCTTCTCCTGGTTCTTGCGAACACGACAATGTAATTTTTATTGCTCGCATCGTACTCTTTGAGGGTGCAAAATTGGATTGAAAACTGCGCAATGGGAGCCTCGAACAGAAAACCTCGGCGTTTTGGGAAACGGGCCCACATACGTCCTAGACTGCATCTTTGACCACGGGTTGCATATTCAGACTTGCATAGTATCATTTTATGTTCTGCTGCTATTTTGATGCTTTGGAATCATTGTGAAAATTGGCTTGTTTTGTCTTCTACTGGGCATGATGCAATCTTGATTGCCGCCTTTATTCGGCCACCATGTGCTTCATCATCCGGTCCTCTTTTGGCATGCTTCTATTGCATCTGTAGGATCTTGATGCGATGAACGTTTTCGTCGACCACAGGTTGAAGAACTGCCCGTGATGTTTCCGTCGTGTAATACACAAATCAAGAAAAAAAGGCACAATGAACAAAAAGCTCAGATATGGTTCATCATTCGTCATCATTAATCATAAGGTGGTAGTGGTACAGGTGTCGTAGGTAATACAGGGTATTCGTGAGAAATCAACCAAGGCCCAGGCTGCTTCCTTCCTCCATTTTGACCGTTTTCTCCCAGTTCACACAGGCATGATGAGTCCCAGACCGCATCCCTCCTGGCAAAGAGAGGCCTTGAACTCGCTCGCGCGCCTCCAGTGCTCGCGATCGATGCGCTCCTCTTCCTTGCGCATCTTGAAGTCGAGCAGGCCGTCGTCCCCCTTGCGCTGGCGGACCATCTCGGCCTCGACCTTCTTAAACGCCTGCCAGTCGTCAATCTGCGACGGGCGGGGGATCTGCTGCACCTGCTCGAGGTCCTTCTGGCCATTAACACGCTCGAGAAGGAGCTCGAGGCGGTACTTGTCGGTGGTGGCGTCCAGCTTGTTGCCGTACTGGCGAATGGTGTAACTAACATCAAATTAGTCGAGGATCAAAAGAGGGTAAGCAAGTAATAATACTCACAGGCCATCATATCGCACACCAGCCTGGGGAGCGAGGGTGCTCTTGAGGCGGTAGCCCCTGAGGATACGGATCTGAGTGCCGACTTGGGTGAGGAGGGAGACATGCATATCGGACAGGCGACCCTCGCGGACGTATCGGTAGAGGTTTCCGCGGATGTGCTCCTCCCGGCCGGTGAGGAGAGGAAGGGCAGTGATGCCGTACTTGCTCTTGGTGGGCTTCTCGACTGCGGTGCCGAGGATGCCGTCGCGGTGGGCGCAGGCCAGATTCAGCCACCAGCTGCGATTTGTAAGTATAAGTGCATGTGATGAAGATGGGCAATTACTAACTGGCCAGGCTCGAACTGCTGGTTTACCTCGAGCTCGGAGATGGGGTCTCGGCAACTAGCCTGGACGGTCCAGGACTCGAGGGGGTCCTTGCCGGTAGCGGTAAAGCTAATGTCGCGCATCTCGCCGCCGATGGACAGGCTGCGCTGGCGGACTTGGTCGATGGCGAAGTATTGGTCGCGGAAGCGCGCGCGCCACATTTTTTGCAGGCTCTCGGCGACGGCCATGTCGGCGCGGAAGCGGAGAGGTAGTGGCGAAGGCCGGTTGGCGGGGTCGACGATGTCGGCGAGGAGCTTGTCGAGGCGGGCGTACTGCAGAGTCTCGAAGTCGAGGATCGGGGTGTGGCGCAGCTCTTCCTTGAGGGCCCTCTCGAGGAGGCTCTGGATTCTGTCTGCATTGGGCCCAAGGCTTCTGTTTTGGCGAAGAGAGGTTCGGACGGTGTCGCACAGTTCGAGAAGCTCCTGCTTGGTGGGGAGAGGCTCAACCGAAGGGGACGGGAGCGCGGCTGCTGGCATATTAGAACGTGGTGGTGGCTGTCGGATGCCGGGGTAGCTGACCTGATCCAGGGTACCTCATGAAGTATGTCTCTGATGATCCGTCCAGCTGGAAGGGCGAACGGCAGGGCCTCATCATGACTTGAGTAGGCGACATGGCGATGCTGATGATATGAAGCTGATCTTTAGGGAATCGATGTCGTGCTGTGGATATTCGTGGGTGTTGGAGCTTGCATCTACACGTTGATGGTTTCGTGTGTTCTTGGACTTGCTTGCAGTCCTGGCTGCTGAGGCTGAGGTTGAAGACCAAATGGAATCTCAAGATTAACGAGGATTGAAATGAAGCTTATATGAAAAGCAGGAGATGCGGATATGGCATGAAGGGAAGAAAACATGGCGTTTGAACTAGCCAAGCGTGCGCCCCTGGACCAAGGCAGGGGGGTTGGAGCGATGGGGATTCGTTCTGAAGGCGGTTTGGCTTGAGACCCCCGAAGACACTTGCCATGAGACAAACATGCAGAATGGGAAAGCAGAATCCGTTGGACCCAGAGCTTTGGGTGGCAGGTCTCAGATCGGGGACCAGCAACGATGAGTTCATCGTATCATTTCAGCTGGTGGCGCACGCTACCCGAGGGTTTGGGTCGGGTTGACAACGAAATTTTGGGGGGTCAGTCAGTGGCGCTGAAGAATCTTCATCTCATCGAAAACTGCCAAGCCGGTGGAGGTGGGGGCCCGTAAGCCATCGAAGATCCGGCGTGCTGGGTGGCTTCTGAGAGTAACTGGGAAGGCGCCCCGATGGCTCAGGGTGTTCCAGACTGGTGGCAGTGGAAGGCCGCACTTGAGGTAGCCGCTAGTATCTCGGGGGACGTCTCAGGATTCCTCAGAGGAACGTGGGAGTGCTGAAACATTCTGTCGGAGAGCTCCAAGACTCCGACTCGCTCGTTGCATACGTCTTGGGCGTCATCTGCTTGTGAGGTTATTCCCAGTCCGGCGATGCTGCAAGACATCGTGTTACAGATCAAACATCTAGTCAAACTCAGGCGACTGGTGTTGGCGAGGACGCTGACACTGCATGGACGGGCTAGCACGGGAAAGGCCAAGACCCCCGCCCGGCCATTCGGTCCCTCGCCGGGCCATGTGGTTTTGCTCCGGAAATGTTGTAGTTCGCTTCCGGGTCGGCAGTGGTTAACCTTTTCCGGCCTCCACACGGAGTGTCTGTGGTCCCCGAACACCTAGTGCCATTTAAAAGTCTTTGACAACTTCCGCCCAAGGTTCAGATGGTACCGAAACCGAGATCAAGCCGCTTTTTGTCGCTGCTCGTGTCTACCAACGTTGCTGTCGAGACTTTTCACCATACTTGACTGAACTCATCAGTGGCGGCCACCAACCCGGTCGACTTGCATCAGAGTCAAACTCTCAACCCAATCTTGCCCAATCTACCCGACGCCTCGGGACAAAGGTGTGGCCCTCACCATGTCCACCCAACTCCTCGACTTAACGGCTGTCATCACTCCCAAGCCGGGTAAGGCGGAACAAGTGAGTGCGACCCGGTCGGCATGCTGCCTTGTGTGCACCCATTACCTCACCCCCCAGCGGGCGTCTCAGCGGCCACCTGTCTCACTCCGAGACGAGTAGCGCAGTACTGACGCCCTGAAACCAGGTTTTCCAGCTCTTCAGCAACTGCGTCAACTATTCCAAAACCAACGAGCCAGGCACTCTGCGCTACGAGATCCACAGGGGGCTCAAGGACAAGAACGGCGGTCTCGAGGAGTTCGTCGTGAGGGAGACGTAAGTGGAAGAAGTCCTGACGTCGGCGGAAGCGGGAGATCAACTGACGATCCCAACCAGGTACGCTGACGAGGATGCATTGAACAAACACATGGGTGGTCCCGACGTCGTCGCTCTCGTGAAAGCCATGGAATCTGGCGAGCTAGTCGAGAGCGTCAAAGTCATCCACACAAACCCTGGTGCTGGATACGAGCGCTCCAAAATTTGACACGAGGACTGTGAGAAGTGTGACCTGTGAACTGGGGGACACGATGGCTCTCCCGTGTCTTTCTGGGCCTTCCACTCGAGCAGGCCTCGGACGAAAAGAGTATGGCGGGATGCCTGAGAAGCCTCCCTCGAGGGCGCCGAGGGCGAATGACAATAGGCCGCATCAGGTCAAGTAGGGAGGTTGAACTCGTGGGCGAAAACAAAGACTGTGCATACTCAGCAACGCCAGGGAGTCAGCCATAGGCATGCAACTGGTGGTAGAATGAATTTCATGACTCTGAGGAAGGGTGATTTGCCTGCTGCGGAGCAGAAATGGGAGTGATTTGTGTAAGACTGCATCTGAATCATCGTCGGGCGAACGGAAGCTCAGTAATTTATGATCTGTACTTGAGTATGCCATTGCCATGCTCGACTTTACGGAGGAGAGCTTTGGACATGAGTAGACTTGAGAGGAAACCTACGCATTCCGAGACATCACGGACCCAAGTGTTGATGGGGATTCGAACATCCATAGCATCCTTGCAGAACGGTTGAAAATGCCATGTGGTTTCTAGATCAGATCAGAACCGCCGCCAAGCAACGGCGAAGGTGTACGGACGTAAGATCGAGCAGAGTGTGCAGATCCATGTGTCTGGCGCTGTGGTTTGCTGGAGTACGGGAGTACTTCAAGCCAGGCGCTGCCGGAACGCCATCCATTGAGCCCGACGATGCCGTCTAACTCAAAGGAACAGTAGCTTCTGAGAGAAGGCGTCTGAAGGCGATTCTTCGAGAATACGTGCCATTGAAGCCTTAGAAATTTCCACATCAATTTGGAGGGCCTCTGCATTGATGTTGTAATTACTGAGAGCCGCAGAAATGAGGCTCGTATTCACGTTGCTTGGAGGTAAGAAACAGCATGGCCGAATCGACTGTGTCGAAGATTCGTTTGACTCAGGATCTGCAGAGAATTAAAATTTTGCAATGAACTCTAAGGACGGAAATTGGCAAAAGAAAACGCAAGAATACGCAACAGCGAATTCATCATGGGTTTCTGTCGATGGTGCAAGAGATGGTAGTGCAAGAAATAAGAAACACAGAAGGCGTTGGTGTTGGTGTACGGACGTAAATCCCGGACCCACCTTTCTAGAGCGCCCGTGCCACCTGCCACGTTCTTACGCGACCACCGGATTATCTTGGCAGTCTTCAATCCTTCCGTCGTTCAACATCTTTCACATCGCAACACCTACCTACCAACGAATATCCGGAAATGGTAGACACCAACAAGGACCTCCTCGCTAAGGCGCAGGAATATTCGACAAACAATGTCGATCTCTACGAGCTACTCCAAATCGAAGCGTCCGCGAAGGACGAGAAGGAAATCCAGCGCGCGTGGCGCAAACAGTCCCTCAAGTACCATCCCGACAAGACCAAGGACGCATTCGACCCCGAGAAGTGGGAGCTCATCGAGAACGCCCGCGACATCCTCCTAGATACCGCCGCCCGCGCTGCATACGACAATGCGCGCAAGGCGGCCCTCCTGCGCAAGGCTGAGCGGCAGCGCGTGGAGGGGGCCCGCAAGCGCGTCATTGACGAGCTCGAGGCTGCTGAGCAGGAGGCCAAGAGGCAGCGTCTCGACAAGGAAGAGCGCAAAAGGGAGATGGAGCGCGAGAAGGCCCGGCTTCGTGCGGAAGGCCAGCGGCGGATGGCCGAGGAGGCCGAACGATTCAAGAAGGAGCAGCTGGAGCGCATGGAGAGGGAGCGGGAGCCGGACGAATACGATGAGAAGCTGGCAGAGCTGCAGAGGCAACTGGACGAGAAGAGGCGGCTGAAGGCTGAGAAGAAGGCTCGGAAGAAGGGCAAGGCAGACGGCGCCCCGATGCCCGACCCAGTGCCTGCGCCAGCACCAGCACCCGCTGCTCCTCGAGCACCGCCCAAATGGGAAGATCTCAAGGCGCGCATGTTGGAGGCTCAGAGGCGGAAGGAAGCCATGAAGGCAGCGGAGGCCACAAATACACCACCCGGGACGGAGACGTCAACGAAAACAGCGGAGGGAGAGGCGGCGACGGCTTGATTATACAATTATACCCCTTTTTCTATTCTACAACTGGAATGGCACTGACTTCTCTACTGGGCAGGTGCCTCGTTCAACCCATTCCTCAGCCATTCGGGCACGAATGCCTTGATTTTCACCGCGTTGCTCTTGTCTTCCTCGCCCCACTGTAGCATGAACTCATTGGCGGGGTCGAACGTCGACGCGGCCGTCTCGCCGGGGAGTACGACGTCCGTCATGATCTCTAGCCGGCAAAGACCCAAGCCAACGTTTCCGATGCCCTTGAGCCACTTGCCCGCGCTTCTTCCCTTCTTGCCAGACCGGCCGATACTCGTCTCTCTCGGGATCGTCTCTGCCGGTAGGCCCTCGGGACCGTGATTCGCATCTTCGTCCGGCCTATACTGCAGTGTCTGGGGCGCAGCTCTATCCACATCGTAGATCATGCATGGGAGTATCCTCTTGCGCACCACCCCGCGGTGCTTCGTCCGGATCGTGAGCTCCTGTCCAACGTAGCAGCCCTTGTGATAATCAATGCCGTTCATGTAATCCATATTCGTCTCCTGAGGCAGCGCGTGCTCCCTGATGATCTCATCCTGCCCCTCGGCAACCCCCTGCAAGTATCGCCTGATGATGTAGCTATCCTCCGTGGTAGCCTCAAGATCCAGCTGCGGCGGCGCATCCCTGCCCCGCACCAACCGGTACCCCAATCCGGGCGTCCTCGGGTCTCGCGTCAGCGTGCTCAAGGTCGCCGCATCGGTTGAGATGGGCTTCCCGCTGTCGTCCCACGCATGCCACACCGTCGCCTCGTCCACCGCCAGCAGCCGCACGTTGAACTTGGCGCGCAGCTTGTACCGCTTAATATGCTTCGCCAGCCTCTCGGCCTCGTTCGCGTCGGCCTCGATCAGGAACCGCGTGCCCGCCCGTTGCTCTCCGGCCGCGGCGCCGCCGCCCAGGCCGGCGGTGTCCGGGTAGATGAAGACGTCGTGCAGCACGCGGCCGGTGGCGTTGAGGAACGCGGCGTAGAAGCCCGTCTCCCGCGCGCGGGCCTCCTTGGAGGCGATATTGGCCGTGATGACGCCCTGCAGGAACTTGGCGGCGTCCGGGCCGGCGACGGAGATGAGGCGGCGTGAGGGGAGGGCCGTGAAGCCGGCGGCGGGCGGTGCCGGGGGCGGTGGGCTGATGTTGCTCGAGTACGGGCGGTGTTGTCGCTGCTGCTGCTGGCGACAGCTCCGGCAGACGAAGCTGGCTGCGGACAGCTGCTTGCGCGCGGCGAGTCGAGGGATTCCGTGCATTGTTTGGAACTTTGTGTGAACTCGTACAGAACTTTTGCAGCTTCCGGAGCTTGGAAAGAGGTTTGCTCGGTCGAGTCGAAGTCCGAGGCGCGTGGGTTCGAGTCCCGTACCCCACGATAGCTATCGGGTGCTGGAAAGAAAATTGTTCCAGGGTTGGTTTGTAATGACGCACTGCCAGCCGTCCGGGACGCACGGGGCAGGCCGGGAATGGGCAATCGGACGACCACTGTAAGTCCGATTATTTCCCGGCCTCTGCTGAATTTTCGGATAGAGAGCCAGCGGATAAGGGACTGGAAATCCATTCAGGGCTATCCCTGGACGTACGTGGCCTGTGCTTGAACATTGAGTTGCTGCCTAGCACAACTGCAACTTGAGCTCCAAGCAACTCCACAATTGAGCATCGCGAGAATCACCTCTCAACTGTTCGTCTCCAAACCCAACAACTCACGGTATCCTCTCAAATTGGCAACTCTGTGAAACGATGCCAGACTGTGCCCCAAATTGTGTCGGAAAAATCGTTCCTCGCAGCAAGTGACGCAGGCTCATGCACTCACACCGACAGCGCAGCCACTCCCGTCTATCCCGCGCAACAGCCCCAAACAACCGCCGGCAACCACACCACCGGGCAAGGCTGAAGGGGATCGATGCAACCGCATGCGCTTCAGTGGGCTCCCAAATTTCCCAGGATATCGCAACCCTGGCCGTTGCAGCGCCAATCACCATGATTACAGTTACACGCTCTGTGGGCGCAGGATCGCGCTAGCCGTCTGACGCCCCGTGGCTATGAGTGCTAAGTGCCCGCTAGCCGGGGGACTTTGGTGCGACCCCCAAGTGAGAGACGACCTCCCATTAGCCAGGCACGCGAGACACCTCGACCAAGATGCACCCACAGAGTCGCGGTAAAGGATCGGCATCCTGGCACTTCCTACGTGGTATGCAATTCGATATGAAATGTCGGCGTCAGGGACTGAAGCTGATGCTCCAATGCATTTCGACATGGAGCGGAACCCCAGTATCCGTTGATTGAAGCTAGCCTGGCCATCTGTTTTGCCGATCCGTCTTACATTTTGGTGACTTTTCTGTGAGGGCTGTCCCCCTCGCATCCTTCTCTCCCGCCTTTTCTCTCTCCCTGGCGCGAACTCTGCTCTTGAATCCTTCGTGATCGCCGGATGGACGGATTGGAACAGTGTGGTTTCTGGTCTCGAAGCTTGATCGTTTGGACGAAGAGATCGCCGTCACTTTGACTCGGCCCCCCGCAGCTACCAAGACCGCGGTCTTTTATCGCGACAGAACGCCATATCTCGAGGTGGCCCGAGTTTCTCTCCAGCCATGGTTTCACGGTGGGCGGCGCTGCTCGCCGTTGGGCAGCTCGCGACGACATGTTATGCGCAAACCGCCGCGCAGGTATCAGACGTCCCGTCCGTCGACAACTTTGTGAGGAGGGCTTTTGCTAGGAGTATGTCCTGTCTGCTTGGCTAGGGTGAGAGTCGCGACCGCTGACGGCGAACAGCAACTGTAATCGACAACTATCTCTACATCGACGGCGGCGAAGTTTCACAGCTAGTGAACGGGAAGAACCTCACATACCGCCCTTCAAACCCAAGTTCGTCTGCTCCGCCGGCCACCTCGTAGACCGCCCTACTAAACAATGCCAACAGTGAACAGCACGCTGTCAATTGACCTCACATCATATTGGACGCCCTCAAACGTCACCTTCACAGAGACCAAGAAGACCGACGCGCCGACGATGATGCGCCAGGCCATCCTCAAGGACAACTCCAGCGGCATCTTCTATATCTGGGGCGGGTTCATCTCGTACGACAACCCGCTGCCCAGCGCCCAGCTGTGGAGGTTCAACCCCGACAACAAGGGCGGCGGCTCCTGGAACACCGAGATCAAGCCCGGCCACAGCACCTTTCTCGACTTCGAGCGGTCCCAGGGCGGCGTCTTCGTGAGCACGCCCGAGTCGGGCTTCTACTTTGGCGGCTACTCCCAGTCGACGTCCGACCCCACGCCCGCCGGTCCCGTCCCGGGGTTCCTGGAGTTCAACTACGCAAACCAGACGCAGGCGTGGACGAACCACACCGACGCCCCGTACTCGCCGTACGGCACCATAGCCGGCGGCGCGGCGCAGTACATCCCAACCTTTGGCGACAACGGGCTCGTCATGCTCTTCAGCGGAGGCACGTACACCGTAGGAGAGGGTGTGGCCTCGGACGATGTTGCGCTCCAGGCCTTTGACACGCTCTACTTTATGGATCCCGTGACGAAGAAGTGGTACACCCAAAAGACGTCCGGAACACCGCCCGCGCCGCGGCAGTGGCACTGCGCAGTGGGAGCGCAGGGACAGAACAACACATATGAGATGTAGGTCGCTGAGGAAACGAGATGTCAGGTAAAGACTAACCAAACGCGTAGCTTCATCTTTGGAGGCAGCAGCGGAAGCACCTCCCTCGACGAGGTCTGGATCCTGAGTCTGCCCGGCTTCTTCTGGACCAAGGCCGACTACACGTCCTCGAGCCCCCGCGACGCCATGGGCTGCGCCGTCGGCGGGCAGCGCCAGATGATCACCGTCGGAGGCATCAACCGCAGCTTCGTGCAGTCCACAAAGTTCTTTGCGAACAAGGACCCGTTCCCGCAGGGCATTGGCATCTTCGACATGACGGAGCTGAAGTGGACCGACAACTACAACCCCAGCGCTGCCGCGTACCAGACGCCGGACACCGTGCAGGCTTGGTACGACGAGGGGTAAGCATTGTTTGCGCCGAAGTTGAGAGATAATGTAACTAACATGGACGAAGCAAACTCTCGAGCGTGACTTATACGAGCGACGAGGTCGCGGCTCTCTTCAATGGATCCAGCTCCGACTCCGGTTCAGGATCTGGCTCCGGCTCCGGAAGTGGCTCTTCCAGCGACTCGGGCTCCAGCTCTTCGAACGCCGGCGCGATTGCCGGCGGAGTCGTCGGAGGTGTGGCCGGAATCGCGGCGATCGGTCTGGCTGCCTTCTGCCTGCTGAAGAGGCGCAAGAGGCAGCAGGCCCAGAGCGCGAACCAGCCCGCCGTTGCGGAGGCGCAGCCATACGCCCCTCAGCACGGATACTCTCCCGTGCCGCCGTCGGCGACGATTGCGGCCTCGGAGTTGGAGAGTGGGCGGACTCCTCCCCCTGACGTGCCCAAGATGATGCATCCTCCCGAGTTGGATGCCAATCCCAGGGTGATGTACGAGCTTGACGGGTCGGGAACGCATAAATGATAAAAAGTGACTATAACAGGGAGGAAATGGCCGAAGCGGTAAATATACCTTCATGAGATACCTTTAGACTGTAGACAAATAGTTTATAATGATGTTCAACTCTCCTGGACCTGATAACCGCCAATGGGGCAGTCAGGGGGTATTCCGCGTCGCGCCACGTATGATTCATGCCGGTTACAAAGGCAAAGCCATGTCTAGATGCGACCCGCACGTCGAAGAGGTACGGGGGAGGACGCTCGGTGAAGGTCATCCGCAGGCTATTCAAATGCAAGAATTACCTCCATGGGTAAGAAGGCAAGGCGGGCCTTGCCGACTTCACTATGTCCTTAACTTGTAGAGAGCTAATACGCAGACACTAATCTTGTGTTGTATGCCCACCAGAGACCGAGTTACATTTGGTGTTGCTGCGCCGCACGAGACGCTGTTGGTGAGGCTGGGCATGCAGAAGACGAGCGCAGCAGCCAATTGATCCCCGGCCTCGGCGGTTGGAACCAGGGTATAAAACTCAGCTGAAAGCACCTTTTAACAAGCTGAATTCCTAACACCCAGGAGCAACTCCTCCTCTCCTTCCCCTGAATTTCAAGCGCTTCACCTCACAGCAGCCTTTCCGACTTTGAATCTTGGCTTCCAAGATGGATCCTCTCAGTGTAGTCAGCTCAACCATTGGCATCATCGGAGCGCTTTCCAGCGCCTACGAGACCATCAAGAAGATCCAGAACCTTCCGAAGGCTTTCGACGAGGTGAACAAAAATCTCCCTTTGGTCCGGGGTGTTCTTCAACGTGTCTATGAAAGAATCCAACGGATAGATCCTAGTGTCGACGAGAACAGCGACTCTATCCGCGAGGCCATCAACACCTGCCACGACAAAGTCGAGCTGCTCCAGAAGATCTTCGCCACACTCGAGGAAAAATGCAAGGATCGAGACGCCGACAAGACTTGGAAGAGGGCCCGGTCCTGGTACCGTGAAGCCATGCGTGGCATGCAGGCTGATCGTGTGGAGGGCCTGATGAAGGAGATTTTGGACCGCATGCGGATCCTGGCCATGAGCCAAGTCTTCAGTCTCAACGATGACCTTGACGAGATCAAAGAGGCCATCGACTCACTTTCAAAAGTTGAGCCATCCCTGGATGAATCCGAGATGGAGATGGGGGCGATCTACGCGCAGCAAACAAATCGGGACCACGCCACAGGCACACAGTATAATATGTCTGGTGGTGTAATGAACACAGGGAATAACTCGGGGAATACGTTCGGGGACGTTGGGACCTTGACATTTGGTAAGAGCTAGGACAGATACCAACCTTGCCAGATATAGAGCTTAATCAACGTCACAGTTTCTTGTCCTGATCACCTTGACCATACTCGTCTGTCGCGACCTTCGAAGAGAAAACATGAGTATCAGGGCAAATCCAAGCGTGAGTTGGCCGCTCCAACGGGCGATGTGACAGAAGCTATGGCGTGCTGACAAAGCTGAGCAGCATCGCATCACATTCCTAATGGGAAGAATTTGAACTTTGTTGGCCGTTTGGAAATCATGCAGAAACTTCAAACAATGCTGCGGGACAAGGAGTGCGAATCAGTCGCTCTCTGCGGCTTGGGCGGCGCAGGCAAGAGCGAGATCGCGCTCAGCTTCGCGCACTGGGTCAAAGACACCATGCCAGATCACTCCATATTCTGGATGTCAGCCTTGAGCAGCGGGAGCATTGATAAATCCTACGGAGATATTGCTCACAAAGTTGGTCTTGACTGTTCGGAGGGTCTTGGGGTGAAGACGGCGCTGCAACGATATCTGTCCTCCGGAATTGCTAGACCTTGGGTTCTCATCATTGACAACGCTGACAACGAAGCTATGCTCAAGGATGTGCTTCATGATAGCGATGGAAATAGCGTACTTCCACGACACGATGGTTGTTTCACGCTATTCACCACACGATCATGGGATGTGGCCCAGTGCGTCTCGCAAGGGAATGTGATCGATGTGGAGGCCATGAACGAAGACGACGCAAAGAACCTCTTGGCCAGGCTTGTTGGCAAGAACGCATCGTCAGAGCCAGACGAAATGGTTGATATTCTTCTGGAGAAGCTCACTTGCTTGCCGCTTGCTATCGCGCATGCTGCAGCTTATATGAAAAGAAACAGAAAGTCCACAAGCGACTACGTCAATCGTATGGCTGGCACCGACGAGAACTTGATCAAGCTTCTTCAGCAGCGGATGGCAACTGGAAGAGCGACGGCTTCCGTCTTGACCACATGGGCAATATCATTCGAACAAATCAACATGCATCACCCGCAAGCCGCCACTTTGCTATCATTTTGCTCTCAGATTGAGCCAAAAGGGATACCACGAACGATGCTTCCCAATTTCACAAATGAGATTGAGTTGGATCAGGCTGTTGGAACGCTTCTGAGCTACGCCTTCATCCGTGATCGAGGCGATTTGCGACAGACGTTCGATATGCACAGCCTTGTTCACTTGGCCGCGGGAGTTTGGCTCAGAGAAATGAAGGGTTCCAAAGCCGCCACCGAAGCTGCTGTAATTCGTCTGGCTCAATTGCTACCAGAATCACCGCAGGAAATTGTCGAAGAATGGTGGGCGTACCTCCCGCATGCTTGCAGACTTCTTATGTCAATAGACACGGCCGAGATTGATCTGACTGAGAAAGTATGGGAGGTGGGCTATTATGCCAACTATTTCCTATATAGTGACCGCAGATACCACGAGTCTGCGCAAATAACCGAACGCGTACTCGAATTATGTGAAAGGAGGTGGGATAAAGACGAACCGTTCATTATATCCACACGGATCCTTCTGTGCAAATCTCTCTCTGAGATGGGGCTCAGGCAGAGAAAACGAGCAGTCGAAATCGCAGAGCTTGTCCTTGAACAGACAAAACGTTCACGTTGGACTGATGCAGCAAGTGAGATCAAAGCAGAGCTGGATCTTGTCTCGGTATACCTCTCGGCGGGTCAAAAGAGCGAAGCTTCTGACCGGGCAGATATATTGGTGGCAAAGCTGAAATTCTTCGACGTTCATGAGCACACTTGGGTATTAGAAGCAAAAGCCTATCTGGGTCAGGAACTTCTCCGCATCGGAAAACTCAATGAATGCATCGACATGCAGGAACAGGTTCTTGTACTGCACGATGAGATGGAGCATGACGACAAACTACTAGTCTTGAGCGTGAAACAACAGCTTGCATTAGCCTACGAAGCCGTAGGTCAGCCCAGTAGGGCAATAGACCTATTAGAATCCACACCGGGAGAAGACCTGACGGTATCATGCCAAGACTTTCCGCAACTGCAGCCCCTAGAATTTCGGCTGGCGCTTGGGACTGCGTACATGCGCAACAATCAGTGTGACGACGCCATTCGGACTCTTACAGCTGTTGTAGAAGAAATGGAGGGTAGGCCGAGCTTGATATATCAGACATTCCATCAACGAATCCATCTCAAGGTAAACGCCTTTTTGGCGATAGCCTACGCAATGAAGGGTCAGATGGTAAATGCAATCAAGTTCGGTCAGGAGCTCGAAGCAACCGAGAAAGTAATTGCTAAGAGGCGAGGAGTCCGTGAAGACGACGGAGAAGACGAAGATTTGATAGCAAGGCAAAGTGTTCTTGCGGGGATTTACTTGGCGGTGGGGACGTCGACAACAGGCAGACCTCTGATCAACCGCATGATAGAGGCGCAAAGCAGAACTTTTGGCGAGAGTCATTCCCGGACTGTCTCAACACAAGATCTACTTGCGAAGTGTGACGAGATAGTTGCGAAGTATGTTGAGGAAGAATGTGAAAGGTTTATTTAGAGGCGCCGTGTGTATATGTATCTTTGGCTCTGAATCCAATGGCTTTGAGCCTCATCGACCGGCACGGATTCTAGCCCGGAATGCATCCCGCCCGGTGCCTGCTCCACTCCGCCAGCACTCGGTGCCCACACCCGATCCGAGGCTTGAATAGTGTTCGCGATAACAGCTGATGAGCTGAATCTGATCAAGCACAATCTCTACAGACAGACGTTGAATTCCAACCATCCGGCACCACAACCCTGACAGACGGCACCCAACTCCACAGACCGTTCACATCGATCCAAACCCAAAATCTCAACGTCAACAACCCCCGGCCCATCATTCCATCCCCGCCGATCACCCTTCCATGACAGCATCGCCTCCGAGACGGACACCTTGTCCAAACACCTCGTCCGAACCAATCTCCTCCGCAGATCAACTCGCAAATGACTTCATCCATTCTCCAAGGGTCCAAACTACCGGGCCCCGCGGCTTCGGTATTGGCGTCAGCCACACAAAGGAGCGACGACGCTAAAGCAAGGGACCTGTTGGCACTCGAATTACGTCTAAACAGCGGGGACGCCCGCCCCTTCGCAGCGAGAGATCCGGACTTTGGCATGTCCCCGAGCTGTGAAAGTCCCGGGAGGCCGGCAGGCCTGTGCGCAAAGAGTGATCATCCCATGCCTAACAAAGTCAATGACACTGACAGCAAAAGTGTTCGTCGGCGTCGGGGTGACACACGAATCCCGCTCCGCGCCGCGGCCCTCACACTCACAGTTCGCGTGGTCATACACCACCACACCCCCACGACGTCGAATACGCGGGCAAACACCACCACCGCGAGAGCGAAGCCTCGCCCAGCATCACCAGATCACCCCTCCAAATCAGAAGCACACAGATCGTCAACATCACGCACCTCACACACCCCCCTCCCGCACCATCGGGTTCCGGATGATGCATCTGCCATTGGATGACAGCTGTTCTTAATTCCGAATATGTCCCCCAAGACCGGTTCACCAGGCACCCGCTGCAGTTCAGCCACAACCATGTTCTCGCGGACGGGCCAACTCTTGTTTTCTCGGAGTTGGTGATGGGTTGAAGGAACCGTTGGCCTGGAACGCCCGGATAGACAACAACGGCGGTGCATAGTGGGCTGAGGTGAGAACGGCATCTCATGAGGGCACGTACGGCTCAATAAGGGGCTTTCTCATTTTGTTTTGCTTCAGATATATCCCAGCCCACTGGGCTCCGTAGTCGAACCCCTCCTCGGTCACTCGGCATCGAACTCGTCCCCAGGCAGTGGGCGTTGGTTCGGCCGAGGGGAGAGAGAGCACGTCCCAGGCCGACAGGGCCAGCCGCCAGACAAACAGCCGCGGCCGCACCCGCTCTGCACCCAACGCGCGGAAAAGTGTGGAGTCCGCGTCACTTGCGTGCTGGCACCTGGATGAATAATCGGCTTGTGCTCGGCTTCGGCTTACCGAAGCAGCAGCACAATTATCAATCCCACCAGATCTTTCCTGATAGACTCACACCCCATGGAATCTTGCCGGCGGGGCTAAAGGTCTGGACTTAGTGAGATTAACTCCAACGCCAAGCTCAAGCGGGGTGTGCAGCAGAAGATGCGCGCATCAGAGGATCAAGAGTGGGACGCGAGAAGGTAACATTTGTGCGTGAGTGACTGTGCACGCCGCGAGTCTCTCTCGTCGTGATGACTCAAAGAGGTGGAGAGCCCGGCCTTGGAACGACGTGCTCAATCTCATCTGCCTCGCTTCTCTTGCACCTTTTCGACGATGGTCGATGAAAATCACCGCCCAGCCCTTGCGTCCGTCCCACAGCTGGACATGGTTCTTCGCAGAGAAGAAGAAAAAAGTCCACCCCCGCAGAGGTGCGTCGTGCCTGGATGGAAAGAAGCCCACCGCCCCGCCGGTGCCGAAAGACTCACATTCTTTCCGCATCTCGTCAGTTCGCCGCAAGACACCCCGGCGGAGGAGCGGAGAAGGGGGTGTGTGTGAACCTGCTGATGGAGTTCGTTGCGGCGAGCGGATCGGAGGGGACTTCAGCGCGGTCGGCTGCTGCAGCGCTGCCGCCTGCGGGCGGTGCGGCGGTCGGTCGGCCTGTTGGAAGGCTCCCGTAGACCACAGAAGGATGCAGCATTATTCTTCGGAAGCGAAGCCGTGCCCTTATCAGCAGATCGTCGAGGCCAAGATCGCTCGATAGTCCTAGCGGGCCACTGCAACTGCCATCGTGACCCGTTGTAGGACTCTAGCAGCATAATCATTGTAGCATTCAACTTATCGCGAGGGAGCAGCGCGCACAGCAGGTAATCAGTGTTTCCTATTGCGATCGAAATGGCGTGCGAGACACGCCCGTCTTGTGCCTTGCACAATCCCGCCTCAGATGATCGACCTGGGCCAAGGCAGATAGGGTCAACCCCACGCCCAGTGTCTCATCCGGGGTGAACGTGTCACCTGCACGCACTTTGCAGCGAAATTTGGGTGCTGGCG